TAGTAAATCACTTTTAGAGAGAAATTATAGAAATACACATCGGTACATCTAAAAAGGAGAGCACCTCCCTCCCCCCCCCCTCCCCCTCCCCAATAATTCAGGATGCTTCTTTATCTTCATTCAAAGGCGTTTCGCGTCTCCAATACGCTGTTGTGTTCCACAGGTTGGAATGGGGCCCTTCGCGCGTACACCACCTCAAATTCATTCTCTTTGAGTGATGGCCCCGTTTGTGATGGGGCGTCTTTGAAGGACGACCTCGCGAAAAATCTCTCAAATGAGAATAAAACCCAGCCCCCAACAACCTTGAAAGGCGAAGTGGCATTTGACGGTAGGAATGCGGTGTGTGGGGCTACGGTGAATTTGGACGATTCTTTCCGCGATAACCGCGCGCGGAGCCTTGAAGGGGTGGAGGATAAACGGCGGCGGCTGATGTACCAATCGCGATATCGTGGAATGGTGGAGATGGATCTTGTCTTTGGGCATTTTGCCCGCTGTAAAATAATGACGTTGCCAGATGAACTCCTGGACGAGTACGATGTGCTGCTCAGGCAACTTGACAATGACCTTTTCCAATGGCTGGTTATGAAGATCACTCCACCGGATTATATCAACGCATTGAAGTGTTTTCATGAGGTTGGAAAATTCATCGAAACTGAAAAAAAAGAACTTTGGGGTAATTTTTAGCGGTGCTCAAATACGGAAAAAATCAAGTTACTATAGAGCAATCTGCCATGTGTATATTTTTTATCATTTTCACTACATTCCATTCCTTCTGTTCCTTCAATGAGCTTGTAAACCAACTATTTCGCGTATTTTGAAATAAAAAGTATAAATATATTTCTATGTACTTATTGTACTGAAAAAAAACTCATCGTATTTTTTTCCAATAATATTATTAATCCAATTTCCTACCTTCCATTGTCAAAAAAATATCTTTTCTCCACTTATATCTATTTCAACTATCCTACTTTTTTCCCTACACTTTCAGTTAAAAAAATTTCTCCACAGTATTATTTGAGTCTTTATTGGTGCATAAACTAATAAATTCTCAAATTATTAAATCTTAATTTATTTTAGTTTTCATTTTTAGTTATATATATTAACCTATTCTTTTTTTAGGAAGGGTATTTTTAGGAAAAGCTGTCTTTGTACAACTTGCATGCTAATTACTCCGTGTTATACCAGAAAAGCTAATATCTTAAAAAAAACAAACGAACGCTCTAGCTTAGAAAGTGCGCTTTTCTAAATCTATTAGTGTTAAAGGGAAACCACACCAGATAACACGTTTTTATTTTCATATATATATATATTATCTAGATCTATCTATCTATCTATTTATTTATATATATAAAAATATATACCAATAACTATAGAGAGAAGGAAGAGTGGATATTTTTTGTCTATTGTCTCTCTTTTTCTAGCATATTATTGGTTCCGATTGGCATTCATTTTATCGTGATAGGGTTACATATTTGGAATACCTTTCTCTTTTTACTTAGTTGATAGTTTATTTCTTCTTTTTTTCTTTTTGACATCTCTACAAATTAGAGATTGAAAAAAAAACATAACCCATTTATTATTTACTTTTGCAGTTTTGCTTGGCATTACTTCCCTGTGACATCTCACCCGCTTATTCACCTCTCACGTTGTGTGTGTGAACGTCTGTTGGGGTCTTCTTGTGAGCCGTCTTGGCCAATGCCCACATCCTGGCAAACGCCATGCCCACATTCAGACTCACCCCAGCCCCTGAACGCCTCGGACGAGGCCTATTCGACGACTCCGACGGTCGCCGTGGAGATTTCAGAGGGCGACGGCCAGGGCGCGCCGTCCGAGGCGCCGCCCCTCCCAGATGGTCTTCCGCACGGGGAAAGGTATGATGCGGAGTCGGGGGATGCGAAAACGGAAATAGTAGAGGAGACTATGGACCAAACGTTAGCCCAGTCTTCGGGCCCGGCCTCCGTGGACGTCGCTGTGGGGGAGCTCGGTCGGAATCCCATGAGAGTGCGCTGGTGTGTGCATATCGCCCTGCAGTCTTTTCACGAGGAGCCGTGGGCCATAAATCTTCGCCGGATCGCACGCTCCGAGAGCTGCTCCTCACCTCACCACGAGAGGGAGTGGCGAGGGAAAAAGGCAACCCTGACCAATGAATCGAGCGATGGGCCCCCCTCCTCCTCCTCTCCAAGCACCCCCACGCTGAACTCTGAGGAGGATTTCAGTGATGCCTCCGACTTTTGTGGTGGGGAAGGGGCTGGAAAATTAGGTAATCACGACGATCACCCAGCGGGTGTTTTTCTAGGCCCAAAGACAACGTCGCAGCTTCGCGGAAGGTCGGTGAATGACCCTACGGGGGCGAGCCACTCTGGAATTCAGCTCCGCGCGGTGCGATGGAGCGAGGAGGAGGTGATGGGGGCTTTGCGCACGACGGAGTGTGATCCCACCCCGATCAGTCGTGATGCCCTCAACAATGAGCTGAGGACTCTCCAGCGATGCCTGGGGGAGGTGAATCATCCACCGCTGACCTTCGCAAACGACGAGCTGCTGCGGCATATTTATAATGTCGAATTCATCCTTTCGCAAGGCGTTCAGGAGGGACATGGAGGTGGGAAAGGAAAACAGCTAAGTTATACCCTTCGAAAGCCGATTAATAAGCTGCTGTATGGGACGTTAGGGCCGGCTGTCGACGCGGTGATGGACCACGGCGTGAACGCAATCGTGCTGATGTACGGTGGCACCCGAGAGATGCGTCATCTGGGGCTTATCGGCACCCCCAAGGCGCTTGGTCTCTTTCCTAAAGGCATCACGATGCTCATGGAGCGCTACCTCTCACAAGATCCGCAGCCGCAACCGCAGGATCTTCCCCCCCTTTCCGGCGACCCGAGCGGAATCCAACAGGCCGCGCCCGATAAAGACGCGGTGGCTTCGTCGCTGCTATCAAACGGCGGCGCTCCCCGCAGCCTTTGCAGCTGCGAGGAGGCGGCGCCAGTCGACGGCGACCGGGTGGATTATTTTCCGCCTAATGCGACCGCCACCCAGTCCATCCATTTTGTCCGGGTTAAGGCGACTTTTATCGTCTATGATACCAAAACAGTTGTGGACTTGTTCGATCTAAACAATAGAAATGCCGAGATGGTGCTGAAAGTCGGGCATCCACATGGTGGCTCTACGATCGAACATAGCGCGGAGGACTTCGGCTGCAGCCCCGATGCCGCCCCCGTGACCAATTCCTTTGTCCTAAACGCCCATAGCATTCCTGTTGAGACCATCAACGACGCCTTTTCTCTGCTCGATGTTGGGCTGGAGAACTTTTCGCATACCCTGCAGAAAGGCCTCTTTGAGTCCGAGACGAGCACCACCCTGATGTTCTCCCTCACGCTCTTCACCGACGCGGAGGAGAAGGGGGGCTCGGCGACGATGCACATGATCTGTCTAGCGGAGGATCAGGCGGTGCAGACCTGGCTGGCGAGCACCCTTGAGGCCCACCAAAAGGCCCTTTTTCCCTCGAAGCCCCTCCACGCCGCGCCGCCGCCGCCGCCGCCGCCTTTTTGCCATCAGGCCGCGACGATGCTCCTGCCGGCGGTTTATTTCGGCAATGTCTTCGTCTCCGTGATGGTGTGCGTGTACAACGCGATCACCGCGCTCACGCGTGTGAACCGCGACCTGGGGCTCGCGTTGATGGGCTACCGCATGCACACTGCCCCGACGGCCTCTTTTCTGTCCTTTTCAGATCCCGCCGCGTCGTTTTCGGGGTTAGCGCGGAGTACGCTGCCCCTCGCGCGCCCGCGGTGGGGCTGGGGGTGGGGGATGGAGGAGCTGCGGAGCCCCACCCGCCGCGCGCGGGGGGTCATCGGCATCCCGCTCGGCGAGGGCGACAAGGATTTTCTCGCGGCCCGGCATCGCTGCTATGATGCGGCACCCCAGGTCGCCCTGCCCGCGGTCGATATCAGCATCGTCGTGGTGAACCCCAGCGAGCGGCTTCGCGTGGTGTTGAATCCCCGTGGTGCGGCCTCCCACCTCGCGCCGGCCAACGCGGCCTCGCCTCCCCCGACCCAGTTGATTTCCCCGAAAAAAGAGCGCGGCTTTCGCTATACCACGGCCTCGCGGTCTTTTTTACCGCAGCCCGGGAAGGACCGGGCCGTTCACGCGGCCTCGACCCTCCGGTCCTGCGGTGAGGAGGCCGACTCGGGGAACGCCTCCAGCCGGTCCGGCTCGAGCCCATCGCTCAGCTCCGGCCTTCCTTTTCCATCCTCGCCCGGGGAGGACCCGCTGGAGACTTCGCGGGCCCCTTCCGCCTCGGGCCGATCCAAAGACGGTGAGGAGGCCAAGAGCGAGGCCGCCTTTCCGGCCTCAGCCGACCCGACATCGACGGCGAAGGTCGACCCCCAACCCGCGAACTCTTTCGCGGACACCTCGGACGTTGTGGGGATCTCCCAATTTTACAAGAACGCGATGGGGGAGGAGGAGGAGGAGGAGGGGGCGGACCCTGCCCGGACGCCGGCGGGGGTTTCCCCGTCCGTGGGTGTGTGCAAAAAGGCAAAAAACGAGGCGGCCGCGGCCGCCTCCCGATCCTCCGAGGCCGAGGACTTGGAGTCCTTGCTGGAAGAGTTTTCGGTGTTTTTTAGACATTCCTACGAGAGCGAGCGGCGGCTGAAGGAGCTCGAGAAGGCGTTGGAAACCGCGCAGGGGGAGCGACTTGCGGCGGCGGAGGTCCAGAGCGATCCCCAGCCTGGCCTCATCGACCCTCGCGCGCTTCTCGAGCATATGGAGGCGAGGCTCGAGAGCGTCGGGCCGCCTGCCCTGCTCGAGAGTTTGAAAGGTCCCCTGATGGAGTCCGCGGCTTGGCGGGGCGCCCTTAAGGCCTCGCTCGAGCGCCCCGGCAACGGCGAATCCGTTTTGGCGAGGGCCACCGGATTGGACGGGCATACCGCTATCCTGAAGTTGTGGGATGCGATGATTCAACATTACGAGGAGGTCGAGCAGGGGCCGTGGCCAGAGGGCCGCGCGGAGTCGGAGAGGATGCTGACCGCCTTCGCAATGAACCATCAGAGGCTGCTGATGAAGTGGATTAGGGAGTATGAGAAGAGGATTTGTGCGTTGGAGACGGAAAATGGGCGTCTGCGGGAATTACATGGCGAAAAGGGGGATGTCCTCCTCAACAAGAATACAATGGATGATGATCCATTGTCTGGTCCGCCATCACTATTGCAGATTGAAGAATCCTCGAGCCCTAGTTTGGTACCATTTTCTTCTTCAGAAATATTGGCGCAGCATAAGGCGATGTTTGACGCGTTTATCTATAAGGAATATAGAATATAATACTGTGTATAATAGCTGGAGTATGTGTTAATGTTGTTGATCTATGACATTCATTAGTGTAATAATACATACTTATATTTGCATATTTTTTATCTATTCAAGACAATTTTAGATAATAATAATGTTAATTAAAAAAATTAGGTACTTCATCTTTTCTGATATCTTAGATATCCAAACAGGTAGGAGCTTGTAGGATAAGAGCCAATAGACAAATAATAATAATAATAAACTCACACAATTTAATAACTCACTCAACATTTCATATTCATGTACACAGTAATAGTTGAATAAATAAATAACTGTGTCAGCGAATAAACCAACGCATCATTTCATTTGGTTTGCATCTCCATAACAAGCAATTGCAACATGCGCAAGTTGTACTGCATAGTTACGTTTTCACAAAGTCCATGGTGTAAATTCATTCCGATGCAGCAAATTTAACTCAACTTTGTCTATAGCGATCCTATAATAGGCTTATATGGTTCATATTTCTATTGTTTGTTATTTAATCTAAACATGTAAAAATAAATGGATGAAAAAGTAATCTCTAAGTGATGTTGTTATATTCGAAGAACCATTGATTTGTTTCGAATATATATATATATATATATGTATATATATATTCTTCTAAGGTTCATGATATACTCCATTA